CATAAAGCAAAAAAAAAAGTTACTTGTTAGAGTGGCTCTTGGTCTATGAGAAAAGTGGACTTGAAAGATAATAATTAACAATTTTATTCGCAATAGAATTATAATTACAATAGCAAGTTTCATATATACAATTATTCATTTGAAACTCTTGCTCCATTATAGAATGACATATGGGATCCTATTATGTTACTTGATAACCAGTTATTTTAGACATATCGTCCAAAGTGTCTTGAGATAATTTCAATATGCATGACTAATATTGAGTGAGATATATTGTACTACACTTGTGCAGAAATACTTAGGGTGCCTTTTTTGGTGCCAAGAACAATATGCAAAAAGGGATTTCATTATGAATTTCCTTCTCAAATGTTTAGAAAAAAATGTTCACTTTGTAAATCTAACCAGCATCGTCAAAACGGAATAAATTCGGTTTGTCATCTGAAATTAACCAGACTCATTGAATAAACTTACTCAATTAAAAAAAATATTCAAAAATAATATTACACCAGAAAAGGTTTCAAAGTTTAACTCCGCAAAAGGTCCGATACGTAAAACAGCTCCATTTTGTAATCGATTCAGCATGTGAGCATACCTCAATTGATTCTCTTTCGACATTAGATGCCATGGCATCTTTTGGAATTTCAGCACCAACATTTTATTCTAAACGAAATTCAGAAAAAAAAATATCTTTTAGAATGAAAATCTTTTAAAATCATCTTACAAATACATTACAGCCAAATCAACTTCATTTCCAATGTCACATAAAATATACAATTGTGTATAAGTAAGAAATGCAGTGCCCAAACCACTAGTCCAATCACCCTTCAACACAAGAAGAATTGATATTTGTTTATCAAATGCATGAAAATGCCGGATACACTCACATATAAATAGAAGAAAATAGCAAACGATACAGAAAACGTCAACATAATTGGTTGGAGGAAAAATTTCCAATAATACAACTGAGATAGTCCCAGGATGAAACTATAGCACAATCAAAAACAATAATTATTATGAGAAAAGTTCAAAGAAGAATACACCTACCGATCTAGGTCTTGAACTTGAATTAAAATATTGCGAAATTTCAAATCAATAAATCTCTTCATATCTCCTTCGGGATGTTCAATGAATTCAGAAATCTCATCGATTGAATAGCAAATCACGACCGTACTTGCCCATACATTGTTCTTCAAAATGCAAGTGATAATCTCAATGCCAATGTTTCCAGTTGCGCCAATCAAAACAATGAACACTTGATTTGCCATATTAAGGGTGATTCCATTTTTCGACTCAAGATCAGTGAATGGTAAAATAACCGGAATTGGTAATTGAATATCATTTTTAGTTATGAATGCGTATGGTGGAAAAATCAACAAAATTATCATTGAAAATAATACAATTCCAAGTGTGGTTGATGTACTTTTCAGTAATTTCACTGCACTTTCATCACAAACTTGAATATATGCGGGACTTTCATTTTGATCTCTGTTCGTATAGATTTTATCACCGGCAAAAAATGCAAGACTTTGGTAAGCTTTCTTTTTCATTGGGAATATCACCAAAATGTAACACAGGGCAGACTAAATCAATACAATAAGATAAAACAATAATTTGTTAAAGGAGTTTTGCTATCAATTTTTTTTGGAGAAATGGTTATTTTTGTAAAAAGATTGATTTTATACCGGAATTACAATGCCAAATAGTGGAGTGACCAAGAATCCAGTGATTAGTGTATCCTTATAATACCACATGGTATAGAGAAACGAAATGAATATGTCCGTGCAGGTAAGCATTGGGGCAAATGAATACCAATACACTTCTGTCGGAATAATAGTAGATACATGAGCTTGTTTTACAACATCAACTATAATTATTGCAGTTCTTACCATAGGAAGGATTTAGGACTGGAACACCCGTCAAAGTCAGAACAAATATACCGATATCTCTCACAAATTCCCATTTTCCTCTTGGGCTTCGATTCAAGTATTCCTCTTTAAACACTTTATACTTTTCAATAAGTTTTTTGAACATTTTTTTGTTTTGTTTTCAAGTGAATGACTTGTTTGGTAGAACTACCTGCAAATGGTTTATGATCTACGCTTATATTTACCTCTAAAATCACTCAATTATTTATAAAAAGATTTTTTTTCCACCACAGCTTTGTAGCTTCTTAATTTTTTATTTAAATACCATTTTTTCTCGAAAAATACAAATTATAAGTGCTGAGATAAATTTTTAGCCATAAACTAAAATTGGGTCACTATTTTTTACATTATGAATTATTTGTAATAATTTTTGTAATATATTTTACAATTTCAACAAAGATTAACCCTCCTAGGTATAGAGGCGGTC